GGGGGGGGGGGGCAGTAAAGAAATCTCAGTTTTTATGAATTATGTCCAGTCTGGTACAAACCTGAAGACAAAGGTACTTAACACACGCTTTGAACATCCACATGTGTATATAGTAAAACATGCACAGAGTACAGAAGTCAAAGATTTTTGCAATACAGAGGAACATTAAAAACAGCATCTGAGGTCAGTGTTTCTGCTAAGAACCAGGTGCAAATGCAACACGTTGGCTCCTTGTGCATGGAAAGCAAATACAACTCTGTTGACTAGAAACATACATAGTTAAGTGAGAAACACAGCAAAATAGGGTATGAAACCTGAGAGAACTGTAGCATTAACAATAACTGAATCACAAACCACAATTTAGGTATTCATATGTATATTCTACAATGAAAATAGTGATGAAGGAACGTCTGTTTCTACAGCCTCAGTAAACTAAGATTTGGACATACCTGGATACATGTAACGAGACTGCATCCTGCCTTCCTTTCATTTAAAAATTATACAGATAGAAAGAAAAGAAAAAAAAAAAGGGAGACTCTGGTAATACCTTTCAGTAAGATTTTGCTCTGGAACCATTTCAATGAGATGTCAGTTTTCTCACCTCTGCAGCTTGTCAGATACTTGTTGCTAGAGGCTGTGACCTTGTAAAAAAAAAGGTTAAAGCATAACACAGCACACTTTGCCAAATTGCCATGGGTACATCTTGGAGGACAGGTTCTACATTGTTTCTTAAAAGGCCATAAAGCAAAAAGATGCTGGAAGGAATGCTCTCAGGAGTCAATGTGAACACAGCATCACCTCGTATACAGTTACACTTCTGCAACGATGTCTTGTTATAGGCACGCTGCAAGTTTATAGTGATTTGCTCACTTCTGAAAATGTCCCTTTTAAGCGATCTGAGAGGCACTTCATGGACTTTCATATCCTTATTCCATGAAATACATAACTCCAGGTAGGAGGCAAGATTCATCTATGCATAGTATCCTAGAAACACTCATATTTGATATTTAGTCGCAAACACAACAGAGATTTCTCCTACAAAACCACAGCATATACCTGTAAATGAAAGAAGCCTGAATTCAAAGATACCAAGAGTTCAGAAAATAATGTCGGACCTCAGCCTCCTCTGAGTATTTGCAAATGTACAGGGCAGATTTATTCCCTACAGAAAACAAGCTTTGCACTTCAAACCAAACAAGCAGCAAGGCATAAATGTTTCCAGCACTGGACTGTACAGCAGCGATCCGGCACGGCAGCTGTAGTGTGTAAACGGCAGCTCCAAGAGGTTGGCTCCATCTTTACGGTCCCAGGTGGATTCATGAAGCCTCCTTGTGCTTCCAGGTGCAAGGACAACTCACGTAGAAGTGGTTCTACAAAGGTATGTTGCAAAATTAAACGGTCCTTTTAATAACTAAGAGGGTTATTCTCCCTGCAGTCAGTACCCGAGTTGGGAGATCTGAACCAAGCAATAAATTGTATCAATTGCCCTTTCCCATCACGCTTGATAACCCAACATTAAAAGAAACAAATCATTTGCGGAATGAAAAAGATCTGCTTTGTTGAAAGGACCAAAGAAACCACACAGAACATTTTTCATCTAACAGCACCCTAATAATAATTCTCCGTTTATTAAGGTCAAAGAACCAGCTACTCAAATGGAGGATGGCGGCTTTTCATCATCACCCGTGACATTTAAACTTCCACAGAGTTGGCTCTACTAAGTCAATTTCCATCAAGGAAATTTGAGCATTATTCAGTGTTTCATGTGGTAACTTGTGATTCTTATTCAGTTCCTACCCATCCCTGTGCTAGAAAGTACACGTTTAGAGAACGGGAAGACAGTCAACAAGCCAATGTGGGCATCTCAAACTACTTCAATTATACAAACAGAAGGGTCAATACAGGCCAACAACAGAACGCCAAGCCAAGAGGTCTAAATTCAGCAAAGGTCTACAAATTTAGATGCTTAATGCAATTTGCTTTTCGAATTTTTCTTGATTTATTTAGTCCTAGCATCCTAGCTCGGCTGTTTTCTCAGGCACCAAACAGAAAATGGCCAAAGGTTATGTGTTTTCTATTTTTGTAATTTTAAAGCAACATTATTCTAAGCAAGGAGATAAAGCAAGTTGGTGTCTGAATGATCACAATCCTTCAGATACTGCTGCGGTATCTGCATAAACCTGTCATGACTTTAAAGATGTTTGACAACATGACTTGGCACTGATGCTGCTGCACCATGCTCACTAGTCTGGTGTGAGTACCACCTCGTCTCACCATCTTCCCCTCTCCTCCTCCTCCTCCCTTCCCTGCAGGTGGCTGGGAAAGACAACTGCCACGGATCTGGGATCAGGGAGAACCTGGGTTCATGCAGAGAGTGACTGAGCCTTTGTTTTCACAGGGAAATACTCAAATGCTATCAGCCACCACTACAGAAAAGTCAGCTTACACTGAATTCAGGCCCTGACACGACTCCATTCAGTGTTTTGCTTCTAAAGAAATACCATCTCTGCACCTCTGATGTCTCACTGACAGCTTGAATACTCAGATACAAGGTAAAGCAATGTTTCTTCCCCCAGTGTATCAGGAATTCTTTAACAACCAAGAAGACTCCAATCAGCTTTAATCAAAGCACGAGCAGCTGTGTATTTAAGCAAGAATAACTTGTATTCAAATAATCATTACTGATGTCAAATTAACTTTCTGAGTCATTACCCTTTAAATGTCAGTGAGCAGAGCACTTTGTTCACATCCACAGTCTAGATCAGCACACAGCCCCAGAAAGATGACAGAATCGGTGTTCAATCATCAACATAAAGTCCCGTTTCTTTTTAAAGTACAACATACAGTAAAAACATTTCAGCATTTTCTTTGATTTGAAGTGCTGGTAAAGGTGTAGGGGGATTTGATCCATGCGCTACTGAAAAGCACAAGTATCCTCTTAATTTATTTTTTTTAAACAATCAACTGGATTCAGGCAAGTTGGCTGAAATGAAACACGACAAAGACCCTCCCAGCAGCTATTGAGCTTTTTATGAACAGAAACGTTATTACACAGTAAAAACCTTCAATCTACCGATGCTGAACAAGCACCACATATGATCAGATATTACAGCAGCAATCTGGATCCCAAACGGTCTCTATACACAATAATTCAAGTTAGAACAAAGCAGTTCTTTACAAACCCCATCCATGTTTTTTTTTCTGAAGTATGCTGAATAAAAGATTGCCTGTACCTTGCAATGTAAGAACAGTGCAACAAAATCTTTTATTGCTGACCAGGAAACAGTTCCACGTGATTAAAACAAAGACTTGTGCCCTTGTTCAAAAACAGTCAGGTAATTAATAAGTATCAGACACTAATCATGTCCATACAGTTTAAGTCTGCTTCCTTGTGTACAAACACAAGAAGAACAAATCACTAATTTTCTACAAAACTAAGCCTTATTCACTGTGAGACTTTTTTGGTGAGTGAGATGAAGGAAATGGTTCCGATCCAGTGAATAACTGTCTCATGAAGTGATCTCAGTAAGGAAGATGGTTCTACAGGGAGAGTATGTCTGAAAATACTGTTAACAAATATACACAAGGAGGCAGGACTGATGAAAAGCTACATGTAACCTTAGATTTACAACCTTACTACCGCAACTCTGCAAAATACAAAAAGGTTTTGTATGAAAAGACTTCAAATCAAACATCTTTTACACGATTGCAAGTGCATAGTTTACAAGTTCAGCCTCGTACGCCTGTCGCCAGTTTGACAGCAGAGAGGGACAAGGTTCTGAAGGATGACAATACAGGATAAGCCCTTTATCATGTTTCGCTTTTATTGAACATCTTCTGCAAACGCAGATTACAACCTTGCTCCAGGTTGCCCGCATCAATTTAAGCCATGATAGATCAATACCTTTTGAAATCCAAATCCTAGCAGTAAGGGGTTAGGTAGTGGTTGGTGTCTGGAGTTAGACAAATTACACCCGTGTAACAGTCACTCTGGAAAGCAGTAACGGTGCAAGAGGCTCTTTGGTGCCAAAAAACTGTCAGGGATGCATTTACGAACGCTACTGAGTAGAAAGCAACCCAAATTACAACTCCTCCTCGCAGTGCTAGAGAAACACTAAAGGACACTGGAGACTCCCGTTATCTTGAGCAGTCTGTGAAGAAATATCACCATTAAAGAAAAAGCTGTATAAAAATCCATGACAACAAATGAGAAAGTATATCCTATCGTCCATCCTGAAATACAGGTCAGGTACGGCCCAGCTCTACAGCAGGCATATTAAATAATCAGATTTAAGGTGATCTCCACATCGAGACCTGAAAGATCACTGCCTTAATCTTACACCCATTTCCATGGGCGTTTATGTGGCAATGTACTTGTATCATCTACATCTTCAGTAGCGCCTAAAGAACACACTGCTTACAGACCAGCATGCATCCAGGACACAGTTGTATGTCAAATGCCTAAAATTATGTAGAAACCCCAGATTTCAAGTTAAGACTAAGAAATCCTAAAGTAACTTGCAATTCATATATCTACTCACTGGTGATTATTTTTTTAAACCAGGTTAAGTGTAACAAAAACGCAGACTTGTGACTTTTTTTTTTTTTCCCCAAACTACAATGTATAGGCCGATCCTCGCGTAGATATACACATATATACAAAATTTATAGAAAAACCTAAAATCCTGTAGCCAAGATCCCTAACACTACGTATACCATAAAGGAGAAACAGAGATAAAGGGCAGATTCTGTCATCACAAGCACTTCTGGTTCCACACTAACTTCAGTCGTTATTGCATGCATTAGGTGCCCAGAGGGACAAGCATCTCTGGGGACAGCTGAGCCACTGACTAAGCTGCTCTCCCCAGTATCTCTCGCTTCCAACCTGATCTAAAATTCAAGGTACTATTTAGCACGTCAAGTAGAAGAGGAGGAACAAAACCTCACGTGATTTGCTACAGCATTAGGTGGAATTATTTGCACGACCTGGCTGGGTTGAACAAAAACGGCAAGTTTCCATTTCAAACTCTATTCTAACTCGCAACACCTGCACGGTAAGAAACAGAAAAGGTAAAAATATGCAGCTGCTCAGACACTCGTTTAGAACTATCATCTCTAAAATCAATCTGTTTCTTTTAAAATGCAAGTTTGCTTCACTGAACTATCACTGCAAATCCTACTTTTTTTTTTTTTTTCCTTTTAAATTGTGCCTGCCTCAGTGTATTTCAGGATACAGCTGAAACACGTGCACCCCCTGGCTGTCACGGGTAAGACACAGTACTTATATCTAACTTACATTCATTTTCAACTTCAAATTTATTGAGGCAGTTTATATCAATGTATCCATAAAATAATTCAGAAATAACCCAAGTATACCATTTAAACATCTTCATGATTTATCCATTTACACACTCAGTACACAAACAACCCAGCCTCTGTACAGGTTCATCACATGCAAACCACCCATAAAGACAAAAACTTTAATTAAAAATAAGTCACAACTCAGTGTACTGTTTCAACTGCATCTCCATTTACCAAATGGCACATTGAATAGTCTCTAAAATAAGATGTTTTTAACAATCTTGTTAAAAAATTCTTGGGCAAAATATTTCTAGACTTAAAAAACATCAAGATTTTTCAAAACACTCAAGATACTATACAACTTATAATAACCTTGAAATAGGTTTACAAGGTTGTTAACCAAGGTATTTACATACCAAATAATGTAAAGCAAAAAATTCGTATTTCTAATGACAAAAAGGTGATGCATTTAAGATTTATGAAATTAAAATTAAGGCTCTTTGTTATAGTTCTTTATGTAACTTTACATAATAGCCAACTTTGGAAATGTCAGTCTTGCACATTCTTGTCAATCTACTGCATTTCAAACAGTAGAGTATATTAAGTATTACTTTGAATAATTACATTGCTACTTCTAGGTTTGAGCATGCTTTTGAAACACTGTAATTATGAAATATTTACAATTTGTAGCCTTCAAACTTTATGTAAAAGCACAAGTATGACTGTCTGATTTGAATACAAACAACATACTTGCAAAAACGTTTTTACTTCTCAAAATTAAATGCAAATTACTACAGTCTTAGTAAGCAAACCAGCTCTGAAAAGTTTTAATGTGTGCCTGAATGTGGACAGTAAAAGTTATGTGAAATTACTCAGACAGTACTGTTTTTCATGTCAGACTGAGCTATTCTTTGTATCAGACTGTTTTCTTTAAGCGTGTAGAAAAATTAATATATTTTTAAAAAATTCTTCCAAGACCTACATACACTTTCTGAGCTATGCCCACAAGTTCCTTGAAAAATCAATACTGTCTAGCAGGTTGGAACGATTGGTCCACAGTTTATTTCAGGATGTGTGTTCAACTAAAATCAACTTGCTGTTTTTCAACGTCATTTCTCTTAAAAAGCACAGTGATATAAAACACTGAAGACAGAACACAAAAAAAAATAATGGAATGGTAACCTAAAGATCAAATTCATTAGCCATTTCTCCTACTATATCAAAATTTGTAGTCAGAATTGTCTTTATTGACTTTATTTTTAATTTTTGTACACAAAGAAAAACATGTTCGTATCCATCATGAACAAAAACTTAAAAAGGCAGAACTAGAAGACATTTGTGTCCTTCACCAAAGCAAAGCTGTGCTAAAGGTTCCAAACATTTCCATTTTTAAAATAAATATTTTCTTTTTTTTTTTTTTTTCATTGTCTACATTCCAGTCTTCAGAATGTCACTGGAAACTGCAGCCTATCATGAAATACACACTTTTAAACAGAGTCCCAGCTCACTGCGTTTGGTAGCTTGCCATACCATATCCAGCTTGGTTAGGTATTACAGGAGCACCTTGTCCCTGGGCTGGCTGAGCACCAAATCCACCCATCCAGGCAGCAGATGGAGATTGGCTTCAAAAGAAACAGGATGGTTAATTAAAAAAAAAAAAAGAAAAAGAAAAATAATCAAAATAATCATGCAAGGTACTCAAGTTATTTACAAGGGAACAGACTAAAAAAGAGAACATAAAAACATACTCCCTACACTATTATTAATACCAAAACCCAACAATTTCTTCTTCAACAGACTAAAAAAAAATAACATAAAAACATACTCCCTACACTATTAATACCAAAACCCAACAATTTCTTCTTCTCTTTAATGAGTAATACAGGTTAAGTGCTACAACATGTGATTCCTGAAAATATCATAAGCTTTTTAAGAACAAAAAAAAGCCCCACAAACTTTGAGTACTAGTTGCACGGGACAACCACCTCCAAAGGCACATACATACGCAGGAGGCTTTAAGTCACCATCAGTGATGCAGAAATGCAAAAAATTCCCACTGCCAAACTGGTATGAATAGCTGTGACAGGTTTATCAAGGCTTAATATGTTTAATTGGCAAGAGATAATGAAGAATTAGGTAAACAAATAAGTCATATTATAAGAATGTTCAAACAAGAAGGTGTCATGAAGACTTCAGTCTTCAAGAGAGCAAGTGTTAGAAGCCCACCCAAATTCTAGCACTGTCAGTACGTGGTTCCTTCTCCCCAGGGTATGACCCCTTTAGGTAAATACCTGAGCTCCAAGACTCAGATTCTCCAGTATTCCCTGCCTCAAATCACAATCCAGAAAATTTTTAGATATCAGACCAAGACCACCATCCAAAACGCTACCCCAGAAGGTGGTCTTTGTGCCTTTGGTCTCAAAACACCCCCACACATAAAATGCGTGATGGAGTACAGGTCAGAGCTACTCACCCCCTGGTTTGGTCCATGGAAATCTTTAAACATGAGCTTTAAGCACATAAGAGTCCACCTAAGGCTTGAAACCTCGGGCAATCTTTGAACCAAAAGAGCCTGAAACTCAGATATAACATTCTTGGAATAGTCTAAAAAAAAGAGCTACTCACTCTACTCCAAAACCCTGTTGATTCCATGCTTGGCCATACATTCCATACGATGGTACTTGCCACCCGTTAGCCATATATTGCCCATACTGCTGTGGATTTCCATATACTTGGCTCCATTGCCCCCACTGACTGTAATCCACCTAAGGAGAGAATAATTTGTAGTATTTCAGGTTCTAGAGATGGATTAAGTTTCTTTTGTGCTGCTGAAGGCAACATTTTTGGCAGTACCAATCACAGGGCTAAAATGAGCAATAATGAGATCAGTAAAATAAGACATCACTGTGACTTAATGAGATCCTTGTACTGAAAAATGCATTTGTGTTCGAAATACTATGGAATATTTAGTTGGACAGTCACCTAGTCTGCAGTTAGGGAACTAGCAAGAATCAGCGTTACCTCAAAGTTTCTCCCTATCTTGAATCATATCCAGGAGACAGTAACAGACACTCCATCAAAATCACTAGCCCAATTTGATGAACAACTGGAACATAACTGAGACAGAACATGGAATTTCATAAGAACTCTACTACAAAACTTAGCGGTTAGAGCTGGGAAGGCATGAAAGGTATATACACAATTGCTTCCGTAATACAATGAAAAGGTTAAAAAGCAGTTACCTGTTGGAAGTTTTTAGTCATATCAGGGGATTCTTTACCCCAATAACATTTAACAACATGTCCTTCAATTGTGGTTCCGTTAACTGAAACAATTGCATGTGCTGCACTTTCATGGGTTGAAAATCTAAAGAATGTAAAAACAAATTAACGTTATACTTTGTAGCACTTTCACCTGATTGTTAAAAACCAGTAACTCCATACATACAGGAAATCCAGAGAAAAAGACCTGCTTTCACAGATACTCATCTTCTTTGGTAAAAAGATTGGTGGGCACTTTTATAAGTTCCAAATTTTTCTATGAACATACGGTGACAGCTTTTATGTATCAGCAGAAGTTCAAGCAAGTGATATTACAGAACGATGAAACATTACTACACAAACAAAACCACACATTTTAATCTTCTTTGTCCATACCTGACAAATGAGTAACCTTTTTCGGGAAACACCCGTATTTCCATAATCTGTCCAAATGGCGAAAAAGTCTGTCTCATAAGTTGATCTACAACATACAAGGTTTTTGAATTAGTAACTATCTTGGTACCCAAAAAGCATCAATAATAATAAAAGCAACAAACCAAATCTTACCTGTTAGCCCAGAGGCAATTCCTCCGCAGTACACAGTACAATTTTTTGGACTTGACTGATTTACTACATCTTCAAATCTCAATTGTTTTGTGTTATCTGTAAAAAGAAAAGGCCATTTTTAAGCAGCAGGTTAACAGTAACCATAGGGTCCCAGACACTTACCTCGCACACAGGTATCAGTTCAACATCCAACAAACACATTCAATATTTTATGACAGACTGGTAGTGCCACCGCTACATTGATACCAAAAAAATATACCAAAAAAATCTATTCTTTAAGATCTGGAAATCAAGCTAGATATATAATTAAGTAACATGATTTTAGCAACAGCAGTGATAAGCAGGAGAGCAAATGCAACACAGCATTCCATGAAGGCCTTACTTTCTTGTGTACTTTTGGGGGCTGGTGGTTTCCGTGTCGCCCAATTAGTTCTGATCTGGCGGCCTCCCAACCACTGGCCTCCCATGTGTACAATAGCGTTTTCTGCATCCTAGAGAGATTAAAATAAAGATTATTATAAAATATCCAAATAAGAAGTACAAATCCAAATAAGTACATACAAGTCTACTTCTAGGAAAGAAAATTCTGTTGACAAAACCAGTAATGGTACTAAAAAGACTACGGAATTCTGAACAACCACAGCAAGCAGTGAAAATTGAAGTAACGTGAAGCCAATCAGAGAAGGGCCTCACGTGATTTGGGAAAACCTTCCTCCCACTCCCTGTTTTCTCCACACAGGTTAGAAGCCAACGACAATCATACATACACTACCTTTACACAACAGGCATCTGTATTGGAATATTTGAAGGCTGCCCAAAGAAGTACAAAGGTCATACAGATGCAAGAAGCAGCTACTGAAATAAAACTACTACAATTTTAATTGTTAAAAAAAAAAATCAAATTATTTTGTCAATTGACTGTATTAAAAATACAATACACAAAGGCATATTTAAAGTAACAGATGAAGACTCAGGAAAGACTTTTTAATTACTGAGAAACTTCTCAGGTGTAACCCAAGCAAGGCTTATACCATGCTGTACGTGTTTGCAAAATACATTCTATAATAAGATCCAAATGTGTTTTTTCAGAATCTTAATATGCACTCAACAAGCCAAGTTTAGGTAGAAAAATCCTAAGTTCTGGGAAAGCTGAATGGTAGTTACTACGCAACTAATGCTGAGATACAAATGGATTGAGCATCTAAGTTTTCTTTTATTTATTGTTTGCAAACACCCCCCGGCCCATCCCATCCTCTCTCCTGCCCTCTGGAGGCACACAGTGTGTGGCTGAGCACAGCCTGCTTTGGAAGCTCTCGAAATATTCAAGTCATTGTATGAACACACACAGACAAGAGTCCATGGCTTAACCTCTCATCTCGAGCATCAATTAGAAGACAATCTTTAAGTTTACATCATAAGTGGAAACATCTAGTAAGGAAGGGATAAGTTTGCTAACACTCAAAAAAGGCAATTTTTCCCCCTAATTGCTTTTAAATAGTATGTATGTTTGAAATGCTTTTCCAAGAGCACAAAGTTTAAGAACAAAAACACGAAGCCCAAGGGAGAGAGAGAACACAGGGACAAGTGAAAGGCGAGCAGCTCGCTGGAAGCCTTCAGAGCAAGGCAGGACAATGCTGTAACACACTCAATGAAAACGCCAAGCCCAAGGGAGAGAGAGAACATAGGGACAAGTGAAAGGTGAACAGCTCGCTGGAAGCCTTCAGTGCAAGGCAGGACAATGCTGTAACACACTCAAACACTAAACACTCAGGACCTTGATCCTCCTAAGTCTTAAATACAGAGAGTGCTCATTTTGAAGGCAATACATAAATACAAGAAAGGAATTATTAAAGATGACCAATAAGAAAAAAACCCAACCAAACACTAAAACCCAAAACCAAACCACCAGACAGTAAAAATCCCCCAACTTATTCAAGTACCCTTGGCCCCAAAACATGATGATTAAGTTACAAACTGACTAGGAAAGGAAACTAGCTCTAATGAATCCTGCTGCCAGTCTTGAGGATCATAGCCATGACAAAAACAGAACTGAACCCACACCATAACTGGTCCAGTTCCATGTAGGAGCTTCATGTTCTCATAACTGCGGTGGGTAATGAAGGCCTCAGGCTGGAGTACCTGAGCTTTGGGACTGTATCTCAGACTCCCAAATCTAGCAGGATGGCAATAAATTCTGAAAAATGGGCCTTAAACTACCAGCTCAGGATGGTGGTGCCATAACCCTGGAGGTGCAGCTGCTGTCTGAATGACCAGCAATCAGGACATACATTTTAGAAGTACTTTTTAGTATTACATTTAGAATTCACCCATTATTTTTGCCGAATGAATACAGATTTTAAATTGGGAGCTTTTATAGCTCAGTCTTAAAAGAACCCAGTAACTTGCATTCCACATGACTGCTATAACATTTCCCCTACAGTCAGAGGAACCAAACACAAGCCCATGATAAGGCAAGAGGGGTAACAAGGCAATAAGACATCTCTTCCTCTTGTGTATTTGAGCTGCAACACAAAATAAATGAAGTGTAAGTGGAAAACAACCCTAAATCAAGGCATTTAACTGTAGTATCTTATGGCATTTGTAAATCTGAGGAAAAGAAATTCCAACTTTTTCCTCTGATTGAGATTCAGTTCCAGATAACTGGTACAGAAGATGAGTCTTGACATATAGGACTTCCGACCACACAAACAGCCTTATATGTCTAAAAGCCTTGACTGTTAGATTCAGCACCAGATAACTGGTACAGAAAATGAGTCTTGACATGTAGGACTTCTGACCACACAGCCTTATATGTCTAAAAGCCTTGACTGTGTGTTTTTCCTATGCAAAATATTTAAGAAAATTGTTTACAGTTCCCCCATGTTGTCCTAAATGTACATTTAAACACATACAGCTCAATTTTCCAATTCATTTTCACAAATTCCTTATGCTGTCAAACATTTAACTTCCAAATTACCAAGAATAGTTTGCTGAGTCAATCATTGTGCTATAAATGGTAGGGCATAGCATTACTTTTTAAATGATTTTTATCAGTAGTAGAGTGATTAAATTCTACAAATAACATCTTTAATACCTGTATCAGAAAGCGGTACTAGTCACTTGTTGGAATCATTTTTTCCCAAGCATAGATAACAGACCCATCGTAGATTTCACGATGTTCTACCAACTCAAGCAAAGGACCACCCAAGAGCTTTACGGAGACGCAGAGCTCCAGGAAATAAATCCAACCATAATTAAGAGTGGTTGGGTTAGGTCCCCAGAAAGACTGAGCTTTGGCGTGGACCAAACCCCACCGCAGAGGGTGGCACTGCATTTTTTGAGGGCTGAGGGCTCCAAGACACCCTTTCACAGGGGGTCCTACCTTAACACAGAGAACCACAGTGGACCTGGGGTGGTGCTTCAGCCAAGAGACTCAAAATGCTACTGATGGGACCAGTGTTTCCACAGACTAAGCTGAACTACCCTAAATGCACCCAAATGAGCCTTCTAAGCTCAGGAATCTTCCTACACAACGTTCTCCAACCCTTCTTCACCATGCTCTCATGGCATCTCTGCCACCTGAACTGTTTCAACCTTTAACCATAAGTAACAGAAGTAAATTTGTCCCGTACAGGCAAATTTGTTTCCCTTGGGAACATCTGATATATAGTAAATACATCAACAGAGGCAAAACCAGAGGCAAAACCAGAAGTGGAAAACACACAATTATTTTAAATCTACATTGTGGTTACTCACCAGTTTGTTATAAAAAGATACAAAACCATAGCCTTTTGACTTTCCAGTTGCCATATCTTTAACTACCCGTGCGTCCCTGTGAAAAGAAGCACAGCTATATGAGGGTAATATTAATAACCTGCAAAATAAAAACTAAAAGGAACCACACACACTGTATTGTGAGCATAATTTTTTCTTATAAATTCAGTTAGCCCTAAAACTACAGTCATTCCTGAACTCTCCCTATTGCTTCGTTACCTGTTAGAAAAAAGCAGTAGGACAAAAAAAATAACATGTAATAAACATGCAACCTATCCACATAACCTATACTGGCTAAAACTAGAATGTTCAAATTTGAAGTATAAGAGAAACAAAGTTTCCTTTTCTAATAGTCTATTGGCTAGGGTCCTCTAAGGTTTACTCTTCTATAAATTACTGTAACAATTCTATCTAATTTACCATGCATTTTCTAAATAGTTAAATGTCTTCTGCCTAGTGATACAAAATATATGAAATATTAAAAAATCGAAAAAGAGGAAAAAATAGGAATTAAAAGGCATACATGGCCTGTTAACAGATTTCTTTATTTTTCTCGGTCAATTCTCTACCATCATTTTGGAGTTTGGGTAGCTGTAAATTTTGAAAAATTGACATTTTCAGAAATTTAAGAAAGGAGAATAAAACTAACAACAATGCTAAGCACACCAGTACGAAAACAACAAATTTACACAGAAATTTTAGTGAGTAAGTTAAAATGATTGGAAATATAGAACTGCACTGAATATAGAATGTTAAAATGTAAATACTAAAATATGTATATATAAATAATGTATAATAAGAATAAATAGAAATGAGAAAAAATCTACAACTGAGTTCCAGTGTGCACAGTTCCTTGCAGTTAGCCTTCAAGATCCTGTCCATTCTTATGAGCAATTCTGCAAAATAACCAGAATGCTATTACTTTTAATTGTGACTTGGACTTTAGAAAAACTGCAGGTCTCAGGTATAAATATAGATCGAGAAACAGAAACCTGAATTATTCTCTTTAAATTGATTTTTAAAACAGTACTACTTACCACATAAAGAGACAAAAAGCAAAGTAAACAAAATAGCAGAGGTAAGAAATAAGATTTATGATTCATTTAAAAATATGCGTACAGAACAAGAGAAAAATAAGAATTTTGTTCTTAGAAATATATTCCTGTAAAGTAGTACAAAAACGTTCATGTGCAACTTTGAAAGTTTTTTTATAAACTGATAGAATATTAACAGACTATTTTTGTAGCAGTACTCTTAAGGACATACATACTTTAGCACTCACAAGGATTTGTGTAATGTTAAATACGTTTAATTAAAACACCAGGTGATTTAGTATCACCTGAATTATCTATGAGAAGTTTAAAGAAACGTTCTCTTAACTGGTAGAAATGTGCACATATTGTAAATCCACCATTCCCTCATTTAAATATTATTATCTTAATTCATCCCCTGTTATCATCCAAAAAAAGCAGATTTCATTCTTGTAAGTATAAGCTTTTTTCAGAACGTTCCCAAGTTATTCAACCAGCTGCTTCGTTAAATGATATTCTAATTGCCCAGTTTTCTATCCTGCCTGTAAACACAGTCTGAACGCACACAAAATATACTGGGGATGCAACATACACCAGTTGTCAAGTCACTACTCTGTACACATTCTGAACAACAAAAAGTCACACTTAGGAGCAGTAATTAAATTTTAATAAGAAGTTGAAGGACATCAGCATATGAATTAGGTTAAAAGCACATTGCTTTCAGCAAAACCAGAGCACAATTACATTATTGTATTTACAATCACGATACTGAGATGAAACAACCACCCCTCTTTACTGCCCACCCAACATCAGGAAATTAACATCAGAAAAATTATCTAAAAAGATAATAAATAACATTTCAACTCAGAAACAAATTATCACTGTCCTATTTTCTAACAGATATTGGAAATGTTTATTATGATACTTACGATATTTTACCAAAAGGAGCAAATGCTGACTTGATGTCTTCTGTTGTTATTTCTGGACTTAAATCCCCAACGAACACATGGAAGTGATCTGAAAATAAATAATTTACTAATCAAATATTTAACTGCTATCTAAAATTTCAACTCCTGAGAAAGTGATGCTCTGCACACAGCACTGGGAACCAGGAACGCCCAGGATTCCATTGGATGAGCAGCAGCAATTTAATCTGTCCACTCCAGTTTCCCCAGTTGCAAAGCAGAAACAGAAGAATTAGTTTGCAAAATTCTATTAAACACAAGATGGGAAGGAGAAAAGTTATGTTTAAATGTATTTATGATAAGTTATTACCACGTTGTGAAGTATTTGCGTAGAAGTGATACCATGGCGTTACTTTACTTACTGGATGTATCTTTTTTCTGGCTACTTGGTGTTGTTGCCCAGTTTACTTTGACCTCCTGAAAATAAGTATAAGATTTAGTATAAATTCACAAAATTCTTACACTTTATAAGTTCATTCAAGGGTGGGTTACAACTGTCAATGTTTACATATCATTCAATGTCATAGTTAGAAAATCACAAATGGTAAGTTTCCTAAACAAGACTTACTTTTAAAAATTAGTATTTTAAAAATATTATTGTAACAATACTTAACATTGGTAAACATCTGCAACAACATGAACACCCCACAGTTATTAATATTTTTACACAAATCTACATTCCTTAAGTGTAAGATTACAATGTAAGCAACTTACCTTTCCCAAAATTTTTCTCCCATTCATAGCAGCTAATGCAGCAGCTGCATCTCTGTGTTCATAAAATTCCACAAAGCAATAAGGGTCATTGCTTGTATGCTGCAAAACAGAAAATCCAACAGAAGAGTTGACCCTTCTGCTATCGGGTTGCTGAGAAGAAAATCCAGGAAAATATATTACTTATAGCTAGAAACTTTAAGAATGATTTGCATTAGATTTATGAAATAGCCTTTGACATTACACTTAAATGCAAGGGTTATTAAGATGGACCTTTTATTAAAGGTCTAGCAATTTCTGAAGTGTAGTTGACTTCGTATGAGGGCTCCGTACTCTAAATTTACTAAACTAAAAACAATTTAAGTACCAGAAAAGTGATCTGCAGACCGGATGGAAGTCAGGGAAAAAGGGGAAGAACAGAGAGAAGAACAAAAACATCTTCTGCCTCATATATATACTCAAAGCTTGAAAGGTTTGTTCCACAAATACATTTGTGCCAGTTTTCTCTCTCCTCCTACTTAAGAAGTCTTTTTTCAGTCTGAAAATAGCTAGTGGACAGCAACCTAAAAGTTGCACAGTCTCAAGTGAAAAATGTTATACCCAGCGACTGGGAAACATCCCTTTAAAAAGACTCAAAATAGTTTGACTGAGGGAAAAAAAAAAGATATTAATTGATTGCTTGTTACTCTGTTAATTCACGGCTTATAAACTGTTTTGGTAGGATGGCCTATCAAATCAGCTTTAAAAACACTAACAAATAAAGCTCACTGAAATATTAAATATATCAGAGTATTAAGTGCAAAGAACATAGAAGTTTTCAGAAAAGTTGACAGAGTGGAAGTGATGATTAGAATGCCAGCTGTAATATTGGATTTAATCTGTCTAAAAGATGTAATGAATTTAAAAACTAGAGTCTTACACCAAAATACCTACATTTACTAATCTGCATATACCTGGACCAAAAGATGATAAACACTAATATTAAATTAAACGAATTATTTCTTGCCTGGACAGGGAAGGGTCTAGCACATAAAGAAACTGCTCTGGCATCAGTATTCCTGAATATCAACCTCCCCCAGTGTCTGGAAGAGCACAGTTCTAACAGAAATTAGGAATAGGCCTTTACCAATATTACTGTTTAAGTTCTGAATATTCATACACGCTTATACGGACAAAGAAATTCTAATTCTGTCTTGTAAAACTGGATTGTACATCTGCAGACATGGTTCTGTCTACAGCTGAACAAGGGAAGCTATCAAGATCTCATAGCTGAACTGATCACAAGGCCTTTATATACCTAAAATAATCATGTGGTCTGAAGTCATCCTTCTGAACACTGTCAGTACGAGGAGTCTTTAACTGATGCAAAATGAACAGATGAGAAAAAAATACCTGAGATCATAAAAAAGAGTTGAAGTCACAACAGCCACGAAGTGCTCTAAAAGAAATTCGCTCTAGATGCCCCAAAACAGTTAAGTTTTAACTCACCCCTCTCCCCATACTGCTTCCCTGCTGCAATAGAAACAATATTTGGGAAACCCATTTAAGGCCTTAGAAGATTTAGATTTTAGATTGTGGGTAGGTCTGTTTTAGCACTAAGAACTTGTCTGAACATGAGAAAAACCTCTCAATGGACAGGTAAGAACCACTTTGGTGTAAGTCAGTGCCTATGAGAAGTCCACAGTGCAGTGATGAGAAGGATGGGGAGCAACAGGTACTGGGATGGTTAAAATCACTGCAGCTGCTGCCAGCTCCAGCAGGGAATCCAACCTGCACTTGGTGACTGCTGGGTGACAGGTGCTGAGGTCACCTCCCCACGACTGAATATAGCTGCAAGCAGCTTTTTGTTTATCTACTTATTTCATAAAGACGTCTCACTTGTTAGTTCTACAGTTACAGAAAAATCTTAAAACCACAAAGCCTAAATGAAGGTAAAAGGAGTGATGGAACTTTTCCTCTGGTTCTCAAGAAATCAAACTGATGCCAACAGCTCTCAATCAGCCCAAGGCTGGACCAGTACCTTACTCCTGCAGAGCATTTGACAATCAAAACTGTTTCTTCAGAGAAAAATTAACAACTGTGCTCTGTTATCCCTCTGTTTAGTTACCTTCCCTCAATAAACCTATAGAAAATGTAGCAGAGCTCTTATCTTCACTGAAAAGTTTTCATGAAACACCACAAGGGAAATTACTAGTTGAGACAAAGATAAGAGTGATTAACCAAGCATCAGGTAGATAACAAGCAACTAAAGCCTCCCAAAAAGCAGTGTATAACGTTGAAAGGAAAAAAACAACCACAGAGGAGCTACTAGTAGTGTCCCTGAAGAAGTCTGGTCGCAAGACTTGCCATTTAATACTTTCACTAACAGCCTTGACAAAAAAATAGTGTGGCTGTTCTCAGGAAATCTGTAATTACAAGTTAGTAGGAAGCATAAGAAGTAGTAAAAAGTAGAAAGAGGATACAGAAAAAGAGAGTTGAAGACTCAAAGTCTAAACCTAGCAGAAGTTCTGATTAGTCCCTGCCTGCTCCAAGTTTATAAATGCTGAAGGAAGGAAAAATACCAGGGAGTGAGAAGTTGCCTAGGAAGTGACAACATCCCAGAAATAGCTACCAACTCTGAATGTATCAGAGTATTTACAAGGGAAGAGAAGAAAGTATTAATACTTACCAACACTTTGTACAAAGACCTTATCTGGAATACTATGGAAATTTTGTCACTTTGTTTCAAGAAAAAAATTAATTTAAGAACAGACAGGTGCAGACAAGAGCTATTTGCACTGGCACACAAAGGGCTCAGGGAGAGAAAAACTCATTTTGAAGGATTTTTTTACTTTTCATCCATAGCGAAGAAGCATTTATTCGAGAGGGAAAAGAATTACTGAGGCTCATGTTCAAATAAAATGGAAAATGTACAAAATAGCCATGAATAACACTTGAAACAATAAGGTTTCTGATCATCAGAACAATGTGGTTCTAAAAAGACAGGAATAATAATAATTCCACTTAAATAAAGTGGAATCTCATCATTGGCTGGTAAAAAGGTAAAAGTACAGAACAACAAGTCTCTTCTGCGAAGTCATCCCCAAAGCCAAATGCAGTCAACCTAAAAAAACCCACTACCAGTAGTGTCAAAAGAAGCCCCCAATTCTATTAATTTTGCACAACTTTATCCCAAGTTACACAATATTTGCTACCCCCCCCCAGATGTGGAAGGTCTTACCTCTGTTATCATTTTACAGCTTTTGCATGGTCCAATCTGGCTGAACAACTGAAGTATAAGAACTTCAGTCACATCTCTGGAGAGGTTTCCTACATAGCTACACAAGGAAACAAAAAAACCAATATTTTAAAACAGAAATTTTCATCTTTCCAAATGTTATTACGATTTTAAAGTCTTAAATGACTACAAAAAATCTCCCTTTAAATATCCCAGGTACCTTAAAGACAGTATTTACAAATTATTTCGTGATACAGTTTTATTGCAGCACTCAAGCGGTTTCTAATATAAAGTTGGCCAAACAACTGAGAACACGAAGCTTGATTCAGACATAATATTGGACACCAACATCTAGTGCCAGTCATTTCTTTGGCAGAGAAATGTCAAAAGCAGGAAGAACACGGCTCAAGAATGTTGGGGAGAACAAGCAACCAACCGGGCAATGAAGTTTTAAGTTTCTCTTCCCACTGAGCATCTAATCAAGGCTATTTCTGAATTTGGGTACGAACCCACATCTAAATCCCATGAGTTCAGCAGTAGGAATTCAGACAGGAATGGTGCTGCCTTGCAAGCAACCAACACAATTTTTCTGTTTTCCTGAACATTTGGAAAACCAGCCCACTCACCGACAAGCAACGCAATTTATGCAGCTTTATGCCATAGGAATCTATCTCAACAGCTACCACCTCTGTAAAACTCCCCCAAATTCTGGCAGTCTTATTTTAATATTGCCCATACTTCCTGAATTTTTTTTTATTCATAGAACTATGGAACTAATTCCAAGTTTTGAGATACCTATGAAGTTTAGACAGAGTCCTAGACTTATCCAGATGGCCAGAAATCCAATAATACAGTGTTAGAACTACTTCTAGATACCTTGCTACATTTTACACTCACAAAAAGTAAAACCAGGTCACAGAGCTGGATGAGAAAGAGCCGTGCATGCAAAACCCAAATCTTTAAAAAAAAAAGTGACTAATTTGTAATCACATTGTAAACAAAGCGATCAGCTAAAAGAAGGGCTTGTCACAGCAACAGAACTCAAATTATCAGGGACATTCGCTAACTTTACAAATAAGCCTGTCAACACAAAGTACTCAAATGCAACCACTAACACAAGCAGAATTTCTGTGATTTAGCTGTTGAAATAATACACATTTTATTCATTTGACTCTGACCTGTAACAGAATGTCATAATAGGGTAAACTAAAGTCAGCCTGAGCTGTTAATACACTTCAGCAAACAGAAATGTGAACCAGCATTTCTCTGTCTATGCATAAGCCAAATTCTTTTTAGCACAGAATTTCAGTGCACACTTTTGCTTAATGGGCTTCCCTGTAATATTCTGAAAAGCTATTTCTGTGTTTGACAACTGGACTTTCCTCCAGCTTCAGTAACATTAAAATGGACACTAGTTGTTTCCATCTGAACACCACACAAGGCATTTAACAGATTTATGTTTATGTTGAAAGAACAAGGACAACTATGAAACAGCTTTGCATTGCCTCAGTCAGGACTTAAATGCTACAAGATCCAGAGGGAGTTTCTTATGTATCACAACACCCGAATATAGGAACATCCATTAAAAGCTTTCATGGACTCATTACTTTCTTACTAAACACATATGAATTAATAGAAGTCATTAATAGAAGATATATTCGCAGCCTGTATTGTTATGAAGCATTTCAGTAAAGAAGTTAAAAACTGCAGAACTCTGTGAGACCCATTACAGGTCCTGCAACACGCCCATCTCACTGGCTTTGCCATTCTCTCTTCTGAAAACTTTGCAGTTAAACATTTATCTACACCTTCTCTCTGAAACCCTAACTAAATTTTTGTTAATCATTCACCAAGATTAAATTGTAAATCACTAATAGTTTTAAATGGAAATATTAACCTTTGCAGATACTACTAAAATCAGATGGAAAATATAATTACCAGTAGGAATTCCCACATAAAGTGTCAGTGCTGCCATGAACTTATTGGTACTTGTTTGTGTGTTGTAGAACTGCATTAGTTAACACCATGCCTTAACAGCACACTGATATAAGCACCTATAAGGTAGCACTGACAGAAAATTAAACAAAGTGAAGTCCTATTAATGTTATTTATTTCTACTGCAAAACCAGATACAGTAAGGAGTACAACTAACACTCTAGAAAACCAAAATCTCAGCTTCTTCTGCATAATATTAGTATGTATTTTGGAAATGCAAGAACTCTGAAAATCAACCTGAAGAATTCCTCTTGGTCTGATTAAAAAAGCCAGAAACGGCCATTCCTTAGAAATCTATTCAACTAAGGCAAGATAAATTACATGAACTGCTACAAGAGATACTGGGTGGATTTCCAGTACCACTATCTCTTCATTGAGATAGTTGTGAGCAAGAACATTGCCTCATAAATTTTAGCTATGAAACGGGTTGACTCTTCATAAAAATCAGCAGCGTAATTCTGGACTGCCTGATTGCTAGATTCAAATGGGATGTAAAGTCCTAGTGGTCCATTAATTATCTAAATGTATACGATAAATACTGCCTTGATGTGCAATATTACCATCATCAGAAGGCATTAATACCTTTCACAAGCTGGTAACACTTGAGTAATACACACGCTGAGAACACTTCACAATAAAAGGTTCATGTAACAAGGGCAACATCCACAGAGACCCAAATCTCTTGAACTGCACATGAAATAGGGGAATACAAACCTCTACACATTTGAAACAGCACACTAGAAAAATCAGACTTGATGGCTACTTTCATGTCTGTAAGTAAAGCAGGTTGCAGTAACATCAGCTCCTTCAGTACAGTTAAAGATGACTTAAAAAAACCACACGAGCAAACATCTTCAGTGTAAAATGTTTGAATATTGGATAACTACGGAAAGAAATTTATTCAACACATTAGGAACAGAAACCTTACCTTTCTGGAAACACAAACCTTTCTGAGCTGATGCTAATCACCTGCCACACCACCAGCCTATTGGGGCACCCAGTTCTCCCCTTTCTAGCTCTACTTACACATCATATAACATAATATAGTATTTTCTATTCTCCCCTATGAAATCAAAATCAGCAGAACCACAGCTAAAGATAAGACATGGGTTTTTATGCGCTACCACACAGTACTTCAATCTTTGTTTTGTTGCATTTAAGACATACTATAGAAACTTTTTAAAAATTATAAAAATCCAACAGAGAAGCAGCACTTACTATACTTTTATAGGCTGTTGTCTCGATTAACATGACAGGGCAGCAAAGGTTGTGGCTTTTTGCACATGGGCAAGAGTGTTTGTTCCCTTCTGCAAGTTTGAAGCACTTCAATATCAATTAATAAGCACATAGAAAAAAAAACCTCAACCCCAAACCATATATATATCCCCTGATACAAATTTCAATACATTACACTTTTGAATGCTGCTGACAACACAAAAAATAAGAAACTGCATTTGAAATTCCAAGATCTTATAAAATTATCTAAAGAATAGAAGAAGAACATATCAAAGTAATGAATTTTAGAAACTAACTCTTTGGCCTGAACGAGAAAAAAAAAAAAATCTTCTTTGTGAAGGTAAAGAGGCTTTTGTTGTATCCTGGGCAGGTAAGGAAGAAAGTGACATTTACAGCCACTACTTTTAGATCCACAAAACTCCCCTACATACTACTTGGAGGAAAGAATAAGTATGTTTTCCCACAGACAACATGCAAGAAATGGCAGATTCCATATTTAAATGAAGAAAATATGATAAGCAATAAAGGAACTGATGTGGTGAAAAGCCCATAGAAATTCTAGTAGCATCTCTGCCCCGTGCTAGTGGGGATAAAACATCACCAAGAAAAACCCACTCTGAAGACTCCACTAACAGACAAAATTCCTCTACAAGGGAACTGAACTGAAGTGTAAGAGAAGAGAACCCAGCTCCCGGTTCACAGCTTGAAATCTGACTTCTGCACCCCATCCAAATTCCACCACGCTCAGAATACACCAGGCTAATGATATAACAACTTGCAGGTATTCAGTGACTGCTCACAAAGTTTTTTCTAACCATTAATAAGAAGAACACACAAATTTGGAACTTTTCTTCCAGTTATCAGCGGGGGCTGATAACATTAGCAACACGTTAAGTTTCTGATAGCTTAGTTTCCACTTTAAAGTAGAAAATGGACTTTGATACAGCTTGTGATGGAAGGACATCCTACAGTACTCACAGAAAACAAAGCTTTCAAGTGTTCTATAAAAAAATAAATGCAGAAACCCACAGCTCATTTTAGGACCAGCTGGAAAATTACATGTTGTGAATTTTCTCAATCACGTCTGAACCGAGGGGGTGACAAATCCTACAAAAAGGCCTCCCTTTCTCAAATTATCTTCAAATTGTTTAGAGCAATAGGGAAAACTTTTTGGCAGAAAATACTGAATGTTACTCTTCACATTTCTATAAAGGCCTACGAGTTACGAAATGTGAGAAATAAAAAAGCAAATGGTGTCTGTTTGCTATATTAAGCCTCAGAAAATATTTTGAATTCTTAAGAGGTTCATGACTGACCTATCATGACTGAAAACAACACAACAGACCTGTAAATACTGCAAATAGAAACAATTATTATTCCTGAGATATTTAAGATGGGCGTAAGTGTTAGGTGAGCAGTGGTTAGGGAGGTTTTCCTTCTTGTAATTAAATAAAAATTGTTTGCAAGTATTTAAAAGGAAAAGTCTTTCCTAACCTACAGGTTTAGTTTTTATTTCCTAAAGGAATAAATGAAATGAAATACCAAAGACATTCATAAAGTGTCACTTAAACTATCAACCAAGAGCTTATGTATGTGGTCAAATCACTACAGAAACATTTGTTCTTCACCAACACCACCCCCCCCCGCCTCCTGTAAAAACAAACAAACAAAAACAAACAAGCAGTTCAACTTACAATATTACTGGTTATTCTCGGGGGCCAGTGAGTTTTATTTATATGAGTGATAACTGCTGGACGTGAAAAGTGTTAACCAGGATAATAATCCTTAAAGTGCAACTTCTGAATTTAAAGATAAAATAGGGACAAGAAAGACACATACGGAATGCTACAGCAAAGTTTTTGTGTTCTATGAGAAAAACCTTCAAATAACTACATGAAAGTAACCCTACATGACTTGACTGTGGTTACTACAAAACTACTAGGAAACAAATGTATATGTTGTTTATTAGTTTGACAAATTAAACAGAGAGTCACATGGATGCAATAAAACATTCTGGGCAGCTGCAGAGATGCTAATTCAGACATCTTAGAACAAATCTAATACTTTCCTTGCCAGTGACTACGGGCTAAGTCAGGTCATCGATGGATGCATTAGTAAGAACCCTCCATTTGTTAGCAGTAAAAGAACATTTTAAAACTTAGTCTAGATCCAGCACTTAATTAGAAAAGAAGGAGCCGATTGGGAAGAGATGAACCTTGAAAACAAAACTGAGTAAAATGCTCTGCAACTTTGCCCTTTTCCCTCCTCTCCCACCTCGAAAACTACATCCACTATCAGGGCCAAGCAAACTCAGACCACTCTGGTAGTCAACACAAAAAGTACCTGAGATATGCTTATTTAAACTATGCATCTCAGGGAGCAAGGACTAAGTAAGAACTTATACTACACCATAAACAAGTTAAAAGAACTTTTGCAGACACAGGAAGGAGAAAAAACACAAATTCCCTTGAAAAGCCTTAAATGCCAAGTCATCATTTTGGTAGTGGAAACAAAATTCAGAGATATTTTATTCTCTTTAAGTAGTTTCTTTAAAGGGGCCTTCAATCCAAATTATCTTGAAAGCCTTTCTGAAGGCTATTACTACTGTCCCAAACCCTAAATAGATAAGGATTTCATTTCCACTGACTTAAGCTGAGTTTCTCCTACGGAGAGCCTGAACACTGGACTGTTCATGCAGGACATAAAAACATCCTTTGGCAACTGGGAACTGAAAATCTATGAACTAATTAAAATAATCAACAGCAAAATTATACGCTCTCAAGCGCCTAACCACACATGCTACACCACCACCCCCTCGTATAAGCCAACAGGACAAAGAAAACTCATCAAAACCATACCTGCAGAGTTCAAAAGAACTCAACACAAACCAAAAAAAAAGAAAAAAAAGCTCAAATTTATATTTTTAAACAGAAAACAGATGACAGCCACCAAGTGATTAAAGAGACACCGCCAACATACAGTTATTTCTTTTGCCAGGGCCCAAGAGACGGCTCCGCTCTAAAATACCGGAGAGAGAAGGGATTTTTTTTCCCTCCTGCCCGCCCCCCCCCATCCCACCCACCGCAGGGAGAGCACAAAGAACTTTCCTAAGGCCGGGAAGGGGACGGGAGGCCCGGCCCCGGCACAGCCCCGGCCCCGACGACCGGGCACCGGGGG